ACACATTTTTCTATATCAAAGGTTTTTTGTACTTTTTCTTTCAGTGGACAATCAACTTTATGTCCTTTTATAACAAGCATATATATATATATATATATATATATATATATATATATATATATATATACACACACACACACAAACAAGAGAAGATTCCATAGAGCAAAAATACTTAATCCCAACCGAAGGATGGAAATAAAATTTGTCGCGACCTCTACTATGTCTGGTACGCTAAACATTGCATTTGCAACCAGTAAGGGTTTACCAAGACCAACAGATTTATTCAAATCTACACAATTGTGCTAGATCATTATCTTCATTCCCTTTGGTACTTATAAGCCTAACCACTGGTGCTATTTAGACTAATTAGTACCTTTTTGTAATATTTTAAAACAAATTATCTACTGCTGTTGTTTGTAATAATTACGCCTTAAACTCATTATTTTTAAAAAGTTGAAAATAAAGATCTGATGGCTTCTAAGTTTTTAAAAAAGTTTCTTCTAACTAAGTATTTTTTTAAAATTAATTGTATGACTTAATGGGTATAAAATATAGCATTTTTCTCTTTTTAAAACAATGATTTTTTTTCTAAAGTATTGACTGAGCTCGATCAACACGGATTACATAGGTCATTTTTTTTTACAACGTACAAAAAGTCTTTTAAAATGGGAAATACAGTTCAAATTCAGTTTTAGCCAATTTCTTTTTAAAATGTCATACTTTTTGACATCGCCCCTCGTCACACACACAGGTTATTTAGCAAAACTTAATAAAACGCCCCCCCCCCTACAATTTTTTTTCGGACCCCAATATCACATATATATATATATATATATATATATATATATATATATATATATATATATATATATATGTGTGTGTGTGTGTGTTTGTGTGTGTGTGTATATTAGAATATTAATTCTCTTTAGGATCTTGTGGTGCCAACAATTAATTTACTTTGAAAATCTAAATCTCTCCCTGGTTAACGAGATGTCTAATTCAAAGTGAGAGAAAATGAGACTTAGCCCTATTTAAAAATAAAAATTGCACAGGCGCCGATCCAAAGGGGCGCCAAACGCGGCAGATAATAACATAAAAAGCTCATTACTGAATTAAATACAGACGAAATAAAGAATGTTGACTGCCAGTTGGAATTATTTAAATGTTTTCTACATTAATTTCTTGACACCAAAATAAAAATCCAAAGTGACTGGTAAAAACCACCTCGACATTGCCTAGTGAAGGAGATGGGGGTGGAGCGCATTTTCATCAACGCGAATAACTATTTATAGGCCTAATTTGAAGATGGGGCGCAAAACTGACAGTTCGTCTTGGGCATTGAAATAGATCGCCACGCCTTTGTATATTCCCTAAAGTTGAAAGTTTATATAATGTAATCAAATTTATTCATTATTCGGTACTTTTTACTATTGGAGATTAGATATTTTTGCGCCCCCCCCCCCCTACGAATAGCGCCCCAGGTGACCGCCTAGTTCGCCTTATAGGTAGCTCCGGACCTGCACACACACACTGTCACAACACCCCCCCCCCCCCCTACCCCTAGGGAAGATTGTGATGCCGCTTTAAAAAGATGTATTTACCAATCACAAAGATTTAATTGGTACAGTGTAAACCATCACCACTTTATTTTTTCTGATCCTTTGTTGAATGAAAATATTTATAAAACAGAGCAACGTTCACGGTCAGGTCGTGTAATTGTGCCATGTTCTAGGCAACTATTTTAGATGCTGATGCAATCATTTCGTTTCTCGTCAGACTAGGCTGGTAGCTCGTCTTGTCAGCCAGGCTAGGTTCGCAGTTTACCCTCCCTAGGTCAACATTCTTTTTAGGACTATTTTTTGACACTATAAATAAATATACAGTGAAACATTAGCAGCGCATAATTGAATTAAATATGTCCTAATCTCCATTTGGTTGCTTTTTTTAAAATGGACAACGAATAATGCAAACCCACATACACTCACGATATGTGCATGTGTGTGTGTGATTTTCATAAAACTGTGGTGTAAGAGTGTAACAGCGACAAGAGCGCAACGGCGAAAATAACTGCGACTTACACATATAACCGTGGGGGTGGGGGGGGGGGGGGGGTGAGAGAGAGGGGAGCCAAAGTACAGCCCGACATTCGTTTTTAAACAGTGCGATAGACTATCGATAAGATGAGGCTTTATAGTTGACTAAATTGAATCAGGCGGCGCGATCGCCGACGTCCCGGGCTATCCCGTGAGCCTTAAGGCGCCTACGTTAGTTTTAAACAGTGCGATATACTATGGAAATGATCGGGTATTATAGTCGTTCACTAAATTGGAGGGAAAGCTAGTATAAATATATAAATATATATATATATATATATATATATATATATATATATATATATATATATATATATATATATATATATATATATAAACAAAATCCTGCAAACGCCAATGTTTAGGTGTGCTGATCATTTCTATTTAAAATTTCTATTATTCAAGTCTTTAAAATGCTAACATTCACTTTTAGATGCGTCATTTCCAAACTTACTTAATCTCTCCCGGCATTACAAATACGACCATTCCCCCCCCCCCCCCCCCCCCCCCCCACAGAGAATGACGTCATGTATGATGTAAGGCGCTTATAATTTGGAGCAATTATTTTTAGAAACAGATTAAGTTTTGCCAATGTTATTAAGTTGAGGGTATAATAATTTGCAAAGAATAAAAGAAGAAACGCATATGTTCAGTTCAAGAAAGTCCCTATAATGTAATAAACTTAAGGGTTATATCACAAAAAATATAAGCTTCTAAATTTATATTATAGAGTATTTCCTTACTAAAAAAAAAGGTTGTCAAGACCTGCTATGTTACCCTAACGGTTCATGGGGCAGGTGAAGTAGAAGACAGGTGAAATAGACGTCAATTGTGTCTGTGACCTCAGCATACGAAGGGTCAGGCAACCATCACAGACAGTGTTTCTTCCAGACTATTTTCTCCGGGGGGGGGGGGGGGGGCACTTTAAATTTTCGGGGGGGGGGGGGGGGGCGGTAGACTTTCTTCGGGGGGGGGGCGGACACTGTTAAAAGTATATATTTTCTATATAAATTATATAAATTTCATTTCGTTCGGGGGGGGGGGGGGGGCGGTAAAAAAATTTCGGGGGGTCTTCGCCCCCCCCCCCCCGAAGAGATGCCTGGAAGAAACTCTGAATTCACAGATGGGTGGTCTCAGGGACATTCTACTGGGTGGTCTCAGGGACATTCTACTGGGTGATCTCAGGGACATTCTACTGGGTGGTCTCAGGGACATTCTACTGGGTGATCTCAGGGACATTCTACTGGGTGGTCTCAGGGACATTCTACTGGGTGGTCTCAGGGACATTCTACTGGGTGGTCTCAGGGACATTCTACTGGGTGGTCTCAGGGACATTCTACTGGGTGGTCTCAGTGACATTCTACTGACTTGAGCCCGGAATCAGCTCTCGAGACTTTCAGGTTAGTGGACTTGCGTTTTAAGCATACTACACTACCATACCGTCGTCTAAGATTACAGTAAAACTATTTTACTAGAAAGCTGACCAGATCATAATTTTAAAAAAAATTGGACTAGTTTTTTTTAATGGCAATACAGTACGAATAATAATGATAACGCGAGAGGATAATAATAACACTAACAAGAATTAAGTAACAAATGAGCATTGACTAATTTATTAGCCTATTGTGTTAGGTGTAAAGTTAAAGTTTAAGTTTAGATTATATTTTAGGCTAGTTGGTCCAATATCGTGGGTAAACAGTTTCTTCCAGGCATCTCTTGGGGGGGGGGGGGGGGGGGGGCTTGACCCCCCCCCCCCCCCCCGCACGAAATTTATATAGAAAATATATACTTTTAACAGTGTCCGCCCCCCCCCCCCCCCCCGGAGAAAAAAGTCTGGAAGAAACACTGTGGGTAAAGTGTAGGGTTAAAGTTTGGGTGATATATATGTTAGGCTAGTTGGTCCATATTGGTTGATCGACATGGGACTGACCATACTTATAGAATATTTGTGCATACTTATTTTAAGTAAACAAATAATGTAGGTGTAGGCTAGTAGGCTTGCACAAATTATAACGTACAACAAGCCTATAGAATATAGTTATGGATCTAGTTTATAAAAAATTATTACATATTTCAGTACAATATATTATACTGAACAAGTTTCAAAACTGACGCAAAAGACGATGTAGTTATAATTAAATAAACGGAATGCTAACTTAGTCAGCTAAAAACACTTCAAATATACTAATCTTTAGAGTAACAATATTCTAGTTCTTACTCGTGTGTTCTTTTAGGCTACTTTATTGATGACAAGAGTTGTTGCGTCATCGGGATGACCCCATTTAATTCAAGGCGCCAAAAGCATCATTTTTAAAATGGTGCATTCCTTATCAATAAAAATCTAAGGCTTGGGAAAAATACTAAAATCACAAACTGTTACTCCGTAACTGTAATGTGTTTAGGAAAGTACAGGCGACGAGAAAGGCGAGTGAGGCCCTCGCCGTGTTTGGCAGTCGAGCGATAACAATAACAGGTTAGCCGAGAGGTGATTTCAACTTGAGGGCACGGAAAGGGGCGAGGGAGACGTTACGCTACTACTAACACACAGGTTGGAGGGTCCTAGTCAAAACAGCTGAGACGGCTGTATTGCAAAATACCAAATAAATAAGACCTGCTGGTTGTTACTGTTAGCAATAAATGCAATCAAAGTGTTGTCCTGAGTCACATAACCACACTCAGCGCCGTTTTTATCTTATTAGGTCATGCCGCGAACGCGCAAAATTTAAAATTTGGTTTGTTTATGAGTGTACTAGCGTAGCCTTACAATTGTATTCTTCTTCAGTTTAGAGAGAAATACGAGTCCTTGACCAAATTATCAGGGGGAAATGTTGACAACATTTTGTGGATTAGAAAACTTCTCTCGTGTCTTAAATGATTTGATACAATAACAAAAAAGGTGCTACTCACAGGCTGTAGTTCTCCATTTCCTTTCTCCATTTTCTTCCTTCATGATAATCCATCGGACTTCATAATGAGCGCGGTCAAAGCGCCGATTTGAAAAGACGATGGCAAAGCCACAGCTGTACGAACCGTTAGCTGTCGTAGTAATTGTAAGTAGGTTACAAACGCCGGTGACGCTACGAAGTAAAAAAATAAAAACGAGCGCGCAAGGCCCAGAAAAGATAGATTTAACCAACGAGGTTTCTATACTGGTGCTCGCAGAATTCTGATTGGATAAAATCCAATAGGTAAAATGTATGAATATGCAAAAGGCACTAGTTCCCTCGCACCGGATCACCTTGGCCTTAGTAGAAAGAGGGGAAAAGTTGTAAATAAAAATATGCAATAATAAACAACACGGTAAATGTACTCAGATATAAGCGTTTGACATTGTATTTATATCAAAATTTTCAGCAAAAACGTTATTCAACATTAATAACAAGATACATACACAACAATATTAAGATTAAAAAAAAACACCGGACAGTAATTTTAAATTACATAACAATAATAAGAAACAATGTATTAATTACCAATCTAAAACACTTCGGAATACAAACAGCAGTTTTTTTTTTGTTTTTTTTAATCAATTTCATAGTTTGAAACTAAAATGTGAAACATTTCCCCTAACATACAAAATGCATTTTCGCAATAGATGTTTTACTGGTAGCCTAAATATGTATAGACATAATATGTATGTATATATATATATATATATATATATATATATATATATATATATATATATATATATATATATATAAATATATATATATATATATATATATATATATATATATATATATATATATATATATATATATATATATATATATATATATATATATATATATTTGCATACATATATATAGGCCTATATATGTATATATATATATATATATATATATATATATATATATATATATATATATATATATATATATAGGCCTATATATAATACAGATAAAGTGTTATATGCGAACATATTTTATACGACCGATAGGCCTCTACTCTATAAGTTAATAAAAGATATATTATGTGGTCAGCATTTCAAATGTTATTTATGCCTTTACTTGTTAAATTACGTCATTTCTATATAAGACCTTTTACCGGTAGCTTTCACATGCCGAAATGGTTTAGCCCGTTCGTTTGAACTATTGTCCCACGTCATCATTATTTATAGCAACCAGTCGCAGGCAATCTGACCTAAGGATCGGGCGAGGGGGATTCCCAGGCAAGAAACCTATAATATCCAGCAGCGGTAAAAGGCACGGAAGTGGTTTTCCTGTTTCAATTGACTCATTAACAATAACGGAGGTAGCCTGGCTATCAGGCTATAGGGAAATTACTTATATACTAGTTCTACCTATCTATTGCTCAATTGCAGCGAAATTTTAGAGTTAAAAATATAAATTACAGTAAAAAATGTGGGATATTATATTTAAAGGCCTATCAAAAGCTCACAAACTTTTGCTTACTTGTAATTTTTAATATATTTATACGTTATTCTGTTCTTTGTTACTTGTGTTTAATGTAGGCCTATTCTATAACCGGATCTGGGGAGGGGCATATAAAAGGCCTTAAAGTAGTTATGATTTTCAGGCCCTTTTATATGCAAAAATTATCAGTGGACCCCTTTTTCAGCCGTTAAGCTAGAACGGAATTAAATGTGGGCAACGAAGAAATCGACTACTACTTATAAGGGGGGTGGGGGGGGGGGGGGGTCAGTGGTAAGCTCTTACAGTTTTAAAAGTAGGGGTAATTGGGCTCTTACAGTTTTGAAATGAGGGGTAATTGAGCTCTTACAGCTTTAAAATTAGAGGTAAATTGAGCTCTTACAGTTTTAAAAGTAGGGGTAATTGGGCTCTTACAGTTTTAAGAGTAGGGGTAATTGGGCTCTTACAGTTTTAAAAGTAGAGGTAATTGGGCTCTTACAGTTTTAAAAGTAGGGGTAATTGGGCTCTTACAGTTTTAAAATTAGAGGTAATTTGGGCTCCTACAGTTTTAAAAGTAGGTGTAATTGGGCTCTTACAGTTCTAAAAGTAGGGGTAATTGAGCTCTTACAGTTCTAAAAGTAGGGGTAATTGAGCTTATACAGTTTTAAAAGTAGGGGTAATTAGTCTCTTACAGTTCTAAAAGTAGAGGTAATTGGGCTCCTACAGTTTTAAAAGTAGGTGTAATTGGGCTCTTACAGTTCTAAAAGTAGGGGTAATTGAGCTCTTACAGTTCTAAAAGTAGGGGTAATTGGGCTCCTACAGTTTTAAAATGAGGGGTAATTGAGCTCTTACAGTTTAAAAATTAGAGGTAATTGGGCTCTTACAGTTTTGAAATGAGGTGTAATTGGGCTCTTACAGTTTTAAAATTAGAGGTAAATTGGGCTCTTACAGTTTTGAAATGAGGTGTAATTGGGCTCTTACAGTTTTATAAGTAGGGGTAATTGGGCTCTTACAATTTTAAAAGTAGAGGTAATTGGGCTCCTACAGTTTTAAAATTATAGTAATTGGGCTCTTACAGTTTTAAAAGTAGGTATAATTGGGCTCCTACTGTTTCAAAAGTAGGTGTAATTGGGCTCTCAGTTTTAAAAGAAGGGGTAATTGGGCTCTTACTGGTGTCGATCTCAAGTTTTAGTTCACGTCACCAGGTGAATCATTGGTGTCGGCCTCAAGTTTTAGTTCACGTCACCAGGTGAATCATTGGTGTCGGCCTCAAGTTTTAGTTCACGTCACCAGGTGAATCATTGGTGTCGGCCTCAAGTTTTAGTTCACATCACCAGGTGAATCATTGGTGTCGGCCTCAAGTTCACATCACCAGGTGAATCATTGGTGTCGGCCTCAAGTTCACATCACCAGGTGAATCATTGGTGTCGGCCTCAAGTTTAAGTTCACATCACCAGGTGAATCATTGGTGTCGGCCTCAAGTTCACGTCACCAGGTGAATCATTGGTGTCGGCCTCAAGTTTTAGTTCACGTCACCAGGTGAATCATTGGTGTCGGCCTCAAGTTCACGTCACCAGGTGAATCATTGGTGTCGGCCTCAAGTTTTAGTTCACGTCACCAGGTGAATCATTGGTGTCGGCCTCAAGTTTTAGTTCACGTCACCAGGTGAATCATTGGTGTCGGCCTCAAGTTCACGTCACCAGGTGAATCATTGGTGTCGGCCTCAAGTTTTAGCTCACGTCACCAGGTGAATCATTGGTGTCGGCCTCAAGTTTTAGTTCACGTCACCAGGTGAATCATTGGTGTCGGCCTTAAGTTCACGTCACCAGGTGAATCATTGGTGTCGGCCTCAAGTTTTAGTTCACATCACCAGGTGAATCATTGGTGTCGGCCTCAAGTTCACGTCACCAGGTGAATCATTGGTGTCGGCCTCAAGTTTTAGTTCACATCACCAGGTGAATCATTGGTGTCGGCCTTAAGTTCACGTCACCAGGTGAATCATTGGTGTCGGCCTCAAGTTCACGTCACCAGGTAAATCATTGGTGTCGGCCTCAAGTTTTAGCTCACGTCACCAGGTGAATCATTGGTGTCGGCCTCAAGTTCACATCACCAGGTGAAACATTGGTGTCGGCCTCAAGTTCACGTCACCAGGTGAATCATTGGTGTCGGCCTCAAGTTCACATCACCAGGTGAATCATTGGTGTCGGCCTCAAGTTCACGTCACCAGGTGAATCATTGGTGTCGGCCTCAAGTTCACGTCACCAGGTGAATCATTGGTGTCGGCCTCAAGTTCACATCACCATGGTAAATCATTGGTGTCGGCCTCAAGTTTTAGTTCACGTCACCAGGTGAATCATTGGTGTCGGCCTCAAGTTTTAGTTCACATCACCAGGTGAATCATTGGTGTCGGCCTCAAGTTCACGTCACCAGGTGAATCATTGGTGTCGGCCTCAAGTTCACGTCACCAGGTGAATCATTGGTGTCGGCCTCAAGTTTTAGTTCACATCACCAGGTGAATCATTGGTGTCGGCCTCAAGTTCACGTCACCAGGTGAATCATTGGTGTCGGCCTCAAGTTCACGTCACCAGGTGAATCATTGGTGTCGGCCTCAAGTTTTAGTTCACATCACCAGGTGAATCATTGGTGTCGGCCTCAAGTTCACGTCACCAGGTGAATCATTGGTGTCGGCCTCAAGTTCACGTTAAAGGTTATTCCAAGTTCACGTCACGTTATAGTGTTGAGCAGAGGCGTAGCGATGGGAGTGGGGGGGGGGGGGGGGACATATGTCCCCGGGCGCCGACCTTAGGGGGCGCCAAAATGGGTTGGAAAAAGTAATCGATGGTTTGAAGGGGGTGGAAATCAAAAGTCTGAGGGGCGGGAGGTGCAAATCGAAAGTTTGTCCCCGGGCGCCGGGAAGGGTCGCTACGCCTCTGGTGTTCAGAATACTGATACTTCCTAAAGGTAAGTAATTCAAACTGTCTGTCAGCTACATGAGTTTTATACTTTAAGACCAGAGCCAATTTAAGATAAAATAAAACAACGAACAACATAAGAAATTAAAATGAATTGCATATAAATAACACAATAGAGATAACTAGGTCAGAGTGAAAAATCTGTAAATTGTTACAGTTTGCTAAATTCCTACGTTGGTAGAGGAAAAGATGCTTATCTTTAATGAAAGTTCCATATCAAGCACCAAGTGAATCTAATTACTCTTTTTTAATTGAATTTGAATTGACCATTTAATACTTTAAACAATACTACACACACTATGGAGCATTGTTCCCTAATGCATTAGTCTATTATGTTCAATAAAATTCATTAATTAGTTCACTGAAGAAAAATATTTTTAAAACAATATTATACTTGATAAAACAACACTTTTAACATACATCTCTAGTTTACAGTTTGTCTAGTCATTTTAGATGCTTTTATTTAGTTCACACTGTCAATTTTGGATTGTGGCAAAATTTTGTAAAACAATTTTCCTGATACATTCATCATTGATTACAATACAAGACTATTTTTTAAGTTAATTATGTTATATAAGTCTTTAAAAATTAATAAACCGATTTCAGAACTTAGGGGAGATAACAGAATTAAGTTTAAGAAGGTTGCTTTCACACCCTAGACCAGATAATCATCTTTCAGAGGTAGAGATAACAATCTAAAGGAAACATTTTTAGTGGTATGTGGTGTCAACTTCATATAGAACAAATGACTAAAAAGTAGAAAATGAAATATTAAAAAACCTCAATAATAAGCTTTTAAAAGCACGGAAAATAAGCAACTAAAACAAACTAGCTTTCTTTTCTAAAAACTTAGGTCACTAAAAGAATGAGACCTCTTACATATTTTACCGAACAAGGCTGTTATTTAATGAAGCCAGTTTGTTCTATTTTCAGTGTATTATTATAAAGGTTTTTAATATTTGTTTCATTAATCTTGGATAGATAAAATGGTATCAGTTTATAAAAACAAAACAAAAACCGAATGTAAAGCTTGTATCATCGCTACTTTTAATTTTCAGTCAATTAATGGCAAACTACTAAATACAATTTATTTTAAAAATTTGATTTTAAACACACAAATTGTAAAAATGTACACTTCAAATTCATAAAAGTCTTGATGTAGAAAGTCCAACTCTAAGAATTAAACAACTGCTTGTTTTACAAATGCAAAGATTAGAACTTTCTTTTTCAAATTGTGAATTAAAAAAATTCCGGTATGTTCATTGGTCATACCAATGTATAAAAATAAATGGTTATCCAATTAACAAATTGGCTAATGTTGCCAGCAAATAGTTACATTCATTTAGAAATACAAAAAGGGTTTATAAATGAAATATCCATTATCAAATTTAGTCAAATCTTTTTATAGATTTTACATCATAGTAGATTAAGTAACACATTTCTTAATGTATTTTAATTCCACTTCTAAGCCTTTAAAGCTTTTTTCTTTTTCAGAACTGAACAAAAGGAAGTTTTCAACTTACATGTACATCAAAATACCAATCAAAACAAAAAATAAAATCTTTTAAAAATAATCATAGATGAATAAAAAAAATGTCCTAAATAAATTTAAGCTGCTGAGAAGTATCTTGCCCTTTCAGTAAGAGTTACTCGATGTGTTCTTTATGTACAGTAATTAAGCTTTAATTTTATAGTAATCTTATCTACCAAAATTATTTAGTAACAAACAAAACTAAAATGAAAACAAAAAGGTTCTAAGCATAAGATACTTCATAATTACTTTATAAGCATACAAATAAATTATTTCAAAAAATTATAAATCTATAAAAGAATAGGGTAGATTTTTTTTAACAAAGGAGGCAAATTTAACGGTAGCTTTTAAACTTTAAAGCCATGCATTTCAGTAAAAAAAAACAACAATGTTACAAATTTAATAATTAAGCAGTTCCAGCTTTAAAAAATATTTCTGTTAATGGAAATATCCACTTCAACATGTTTCACTCTTTCCTTGTTGGAACAAATATTGGAGGATAAAGTTTACCATAAAAAAATTGATTGCAATATAGTTATTCAATAGGCTAAATTAAATACTGTTATCTTAATTTTTAGTTGAAAAATAAAATAAAAATATGCAGCGATATTTATAAAATGATTACATTAAAGTATAGATATATGAGCAAAAGGTAAATCAATTTAACCACATAAATCTTATTCACATGGTATGGCAAATCTCAACTGGACATAGCTAAATAACATATTTCATAGATACAATATTATTTTTCATTGGTATTGATTAAGCTTTTGCAACAAAAAAATTCTAAAAAAAAAAAAAAGTTTACAAAGGAATTTTTGTGTGTTAACATCTAAGCTTTAAAAAAAAAAGGAAATAAATTTTTTTAAACTATCATTTAGGACCTCTGTAAACCAAAATAAAAAGAATTTCATATGATTAAACATTTTATTTATAGTTCATGAAGGTGGAAATTGTGGCAAATTTTTTTGTCAATTAATGATCACTATTTATGGCTTAAAAAAATAAGAATTTTCTACAAGATGTAGTACCACATAAACAGGCCATGCTAAACTTTGATGGTTTGACAGCATTTTCATCATTGCCATTACTTTCTGCACCAACTGACTCAGTATCTGAAGATGGAGGTGTAGGAATATTGTTGGGTGACAGCAGATTTTCTATTTCATCTGATAATGGTTCAGTGGATGTCACATCTTTGGGACTTTCATTTAATTTCTCTTCCTGCATTAGGTTACCTAAAATTAAGTCAAATTTGCATAATTAATCAATCATTTAGTGGATCACTGTTGCTTTAAAAAAATATGAAAAATAGAGATTTAACCATTCTGAACATACAAATCCAGCAATATTTATGAAAGGGACCAACAAAGCAAATGTCCCCCCCCCCCCCACCCCCCTAACAGATTATCTCTAAACAGTAAAAAAAAGTAGAATTGAAAAAACAAAACAAAAAAAACTGCAGAATCATGTGGTTCATGATAAATTAACTTAACACCTGTATTTTCCCCTCCATTTCTAAGGAAAGGTATAGCACTTTAAAGTAAGTTTCTAATTTTATTTGAAAACTTTGCACTGTATTTTAATACTAGCCATATTGTGGTTACCAAAATGTGCATTAGCAATAACTTAATTTAAAAAGCCCCCATGGCTAACTTTTCCACTTGAAATAATAAAAAAAACAAATGCTGCCTTTTTAAAAAATCTATGTGTTAAATCAATACACTAAAATGTCAAGATTAAGTTACATAAATAAACAAGAGTTATTAAAAGCAAAGCATACCACTCATATAATCAAAAGTTAGCTCTTCATTTTTCTTAATGTCTCTCTTGGCATATAAGCATATGTGTGGCAATCTTGGATCCAAGGTGTTTATCCACACAACATGAACCTCCAAATTAGGGTCACACTGAAATATTACAAAATAGGTACAAATAAAATTTAATATTTCAAACTTGAAGACAATATAATAAAAGTGAACAAAATCACTGCATAAGAAGTAGGTCAAAATTGAGTTACAAGATTTGCCACAAACTGACATTGTGAACTAAGTAAAAGCTTGTAATTTTAATACATTTTGATACAGTAAACTGAAGCATTGTTTTGAATAAATAGTATATAGATGTAAAATTCATTACATGGATGTCCCCAGTGAACTAAAACCCAACCCTATTCACACATCACTACAATGACATGGCACTATTTTTTTATATTAGTGTGTACTGTTTTTAAATTTTTACTTAAAAATTGTAATATGTAAAAAAACTTACAGAATGATTGATAAAATGGGCGGCATTACCATATGTGCCTGCATCTACAGAAAATGGAGCATCAGGGTCATTAAAATCTAAATCAAATAAATAGGTTCTACCAACAGCGTCATAGTCTTTTCCACGTCTTTCAGCTTCTTCATTGGTGATTACCTGTATTTAGTAAATATTGATAATGTTGAAAGTTGAATATTATGTGATATATTGTTCAAAGCCTGGAATTGTCTGAAAATGTACTACATATATAGTGTATTGTGGTAGAACTTAAATGGGCTACTATATAGTACAAGGACAGCCTACTGTCATAGGAAATGGACAATCGGTAGGCGAGTGTTCAAGCTGCAAAATCGTTCTGTTTAGCATAGACATTGATATCCATTGTGCATAATTTTTCAAATTCCTCAAATACTTAGAAATGCATCCATGTTAAAATAAAAATAAACTAAAATCAAGTTCAGTTCATTTGAATCAGAGGGAATAGTACTGATGAATTTTATTTATAATGAGTAGAATAATATATCTCAGCTCAAATAATATACCAGATACCACACTCATGCCAAACAACAACACAGCATTTAGATGTGTAGGTATAAGTTTTGCTTACTTCTAAACTCCATTCCTTCACAAACGTTTACCTACATTACCATAGTACATTACAAATATTTTGGAATACATATAAATGTGAATATTGCTATTTTTATTCATTTACATCATCTTGCAAACGCATAACATATCAATAGTTGACCATGGTGGGGGTGGTAATGTCCTACTGAAGCAGGGAATGTCCTAGACCCAAATAAATAAATAAATAAATAAATATATATATAAACTAGTGTAGATACAAAATAATATATTTGGTTGTCATTAAGGACAAGGTTAAGGCCAAAACTGAACCGAGTTATTTATAGTTATTATGAAACAGTTTTGTGACGTAGCTGGTGTGACTAAAATAGAATTTGACTTGTAAACAGAAAGACAAATGGACAAGCCAATAATAGAAACTATGCAATAGGTGGTACCAAAATAGAATATTGTTGACAACACCGGTTTTACAGCTAGGTATGACTATAAACTGCGTGACATTTGGGTAGAGCGAGATAGTAGATGTGAGCTCAAGGAACGCTGCAAGATAGAAGATGTGTGAGAAACAAGGAGGAACGCTGTGAGAGAAGGATTGCAAGATAGAGAATGGATTGAACGCAGAGACAAGTGTTAGTTGATGGAGATACAGAGTGATATAGTGCGTGGATCTGAGACATTGGAGTTCTGTTGAGATTAACCTAATTTAATCTGAACTGATTATTAATGAAGGAATCAAGTGTTGTAATATTGAACCTGCGGTCAGAGTGTGCTTCTTTATATCAGGTGGGTGGATCGGTGCCAAATGAGGTGTCTACGGCCTAGAGGCGGGAATTCCTAAGCAGCAGGCAAATACCCACAGACAGGTGGTTGTTCACCTCTGTCGCATTTGGAAGCCGTGAGAAGGGGTCGCAAAGACCTAACAAAGAAGGTCACACGTCTGCTGCCTTGGTCACGCACTATATATTTTATTTATATATTATATATATATATATATATATATAAATTATCCATACTATATTGACTATCTGAAGAAGCCTCAAAATAGAATTTTAAATCAATAAAAGTAAAAGAGAGGTCATCAGAGCCTACTTATACAGCTAAAAGTAAAAGAAGAAACGAAGAAACAAAATCCCAGAGGATAGAGGAGCAGACAAGGACATAAACTAACTCACTACGCCCAATATGAAATTACACAGCCTTGTCACTTCAAAGTAAGATAGAATCTTTATGGCAGTATTTGCTTTGTGGTTCAAAGACCTGGAGGGTTACTAAGGCAAATACAGACAGGTTACAGTCATTCACAAACATGTTTACAACCTATCCTTAGCCAATAGACAGAGGCATTATAGCCTGCAAATGGGGATAAAATGAGCATACCCTAAGTTTGAAGAGGATAATATCGGGAAGAATGCGCTAGACTGGAATTCCCAGGGAAGGGGAAAGTAGGCAGGCCAATGAAATCCTGGAGAATAGTAGAAGCAGAGATAAGGGGTGCTGGGCTTACACTGATGTATTCAAAGAGAGCTCCTCAAAACTGAGTCCAGTGGAGAGGTGTGACTGCAGCCCTTTGATCCTCAAAGACCATGAAGTAAGTCAAGCTAATAAAGTCAATCATGGCTTATGGTAAAATAGCTACTACCATTAGATTTGTGGTTTTATGTTTTGATGACTGAAAGCAGTATAAAACACTAAAGTAAATAAAATATATTTAAATAAAACACACTCAAACAAGGGGCTCAATTAACCTCCCTCTTTAAAATAAATGCTAGCATAAGAACACTAGAAACAAAAACCTGAATGACTGATCAGAATTGGGGTTACAGTCACAAAAAATATGAGCTTAAATATTTGTAACCAGCATACTCATGGCAAGAACAAGATTTTTTGACAAACACTGGTTAAGATAACAACCCCTAGAATTACTTACCTCACCAACATACTCAATAACAAAAGCTCCCTTCTTTATTAGCTGAAGAGACTTAACTCCCCATCCTCTTCCATTTGCTGTGCGAAAAATACACAACTTGTATTTTCTGCCTTTTTGTGCAACTCTGTTAAGGCAATCTGAGCCACATTTACAACGCACATTGCACTCAAAAATTGGAACACCTCTTGGTACTCGTAGTCTTGAGTTTGATTTATAATATGCTAGCTCAGCACCACCAGCAACAGGACAGCAGGTTTTTCGACATTCATAGCAATCCTCACACTCGCAACCTATCAGTGGATCTTTGGCAATAATTACACCTGGGCCTTCTTTACGTTCATTAATATAAATAAAATTGTCTGGTGGTCCCTCTAAGTCAACATTGTTTTCCACAAACAAAGGTGCTGGATCATAGCCTTTAATGATGGCGTTAAGTTGATTCTCCCATTCCTTCAGAGCTTTTAGTACTTCACTGCGAAATAATTTTTTGTTCTTTGACTTAGGTCGCATTAATTTTGTATTTGAAATAGTCAATAAACCTTTCTGTTGTGCCTTTTTCTTTACAGGACTATAAAATGTGACCATGTCCATTGGTGACATTGTATCAATTAATTTTGACTCTAAAAGTTTTTGAAAGAGTTCATCTATCTTCTTTTTTTTAAGTGTTCTGAAATCTTCTTGGCCTGAGAAAGCAAATTTTCTTTTTCTTAACTGTTTTCCTGCAACATTTTTATGGTATTCTTTTAAAATGTCCTCACAGCACAAATTTTCCTCAGGCTCCCAACTATTGAATTCGTTCCCCCAGCCATGCCATTTAATGAGATAATAGACTTTGTCCTGAAATATTTAATAAAATTTAATTTTTGTGTGCGCATTGCATCAGACATAAAGTATTTTAAAAGTTAACAATGGTATTGAACAAATTTTTCACTTAATATTCTTAACTTTATGTATAAAATTTTTGGAAAGAAAACTGTTTAAATTATCCAAGCAAGAAAAAATAACTATGCTTGTAACTTAAGTTGAATACCTGCTTCAATCATCAATTTTTGAAAAGGGTAAAAAGAAACAAAAGTTTCTATCAGTATGTGTATTAAAAATATTGAAAATAAATTAAAAATACAATTACTTCATCCTTCCAATGGTCCAAAACAGCTTCAACTTCAAATTCTTCTTCCCATGTGATGATACCTTTAGAAACAACTGTGAGAACAAATGATGATAAACAATCAAATTTAATTTAAAATACTAAAAAACACCCCGCTATATACTATTAAACAAGAAATTATGCATAAATAAAAAAGTGGGAAGCCTCCAACTTTGATTTTCCAAACATAAATTAAGAAATCAGTTTCATATTGTTATCCCTTAATGAAATCCTGTCATTTAACAGACCATGGGCGAAACAAATATCCGCGCCTCCAAGTAGCCACAATATTATGTCACATGGATCTCAATTAGTATTACGACTGTGCAAGCCCAACATGTGTGAACAGAAGCATGAATCTCGTGGATAGTGTACATACTTGAAGTAAGGATGAAAGAATTTTGACTAATAAATAATACAATTTTCTAATCAGTCTCACTTAAATTTTTGGACATGTTTTGTTATTTCAGGACATCTTAAGTAATTTGTGGAAAATTCCAGGAGCGCTGTGCAATATCGACAGCGGCGTATGAACTACATTTTTATTCCCTCTAATATGTCTAGTCTTGATTTATAACAACAACTAAACAGAAACATTTTAACAATCAGGGTTACAATTATTTTAAATGATGGTCCAATAAAAAATTCTGCTTTCTTTGTAATTATTTAATAAAAAGTGTTGAACACTTAAGAATACTAGCTATAAGCCCCTGATTTAAAACTAGAAGTTCATACATTTAAGCTTAAATCTTAAGGTCTATCTTATAGTCATCACTTACATTTGCTTATTAATCTCTGTGATTGGCAGGGACCTATACTTTTGAGCATTTCAAAAATCAGAAACTTCCTAGTATCATTTGAAAGCTTTAAGTGGAACTTTTCGCACTCTTGTTGTATTTCTGCCATGCCTAACAAACATGGCACCACACATATCTGTAGATAGAATAAAATTATGAGAGAGTAGCTCTATGAGCATATATTCATTAATTTTTTTAAAGGCAAAATAATGTATACTTAAATAAATACAAATCTTTTTACAATGGAAAGTAGGACTTCATTTTTTAGCACAAAAAATTGTTTACAAGCTATTTCTAAAGTAGACAATTTTGACCTATTTTCCTTTCTATTTCCTGACAATGCAAGAATATCAAATGTTCATTGTAATTATGCCTAGATATTTAACTCTTCATTAAGCTGAAGATAAATCATTCAACAAAAAAAGTGGTAATAACTAGATAGGGGTCATCCATAAATGATGTCACGCTTTTTGGGTCGATTTTTATCCCCCCCCCCCCCCCGTCACACATTGTCACAAAAAGCCAGACCCCCCCCCCCCCCCTAAATTGACGTCACACCTCAGCCTACCACCCCCCTCTAATTTGCAGTTGAATTTTTTTTTAAAACATCGATATTTTTCCAAAATTATATCTGAACTATGTCAACATAGAGTATTTGAATCAATTTCTATTACAATTTATTAAGAGTTTTTCTAAAACACGAAATAACGTTTCCTGACATTGCTTTTTTATAATGCAGAAGTGTGACGTCACACCATCTGACCCCCCCAAGAAAGACCTGGAGACGTGACCTGGAAGATGACACCAAGAAGATTGGATACACCTGGGGACAGTTGGAAAGACTAGCAGAGGACAGAGACGCCTGGAAAGCTCTTGTCAGAGTCCTATGTCCCAGGAGGGATGACAGGCAAACCTAACTCATAATTTGTTAAAACAATTTTCTAAAACGTGAAATAACGCCTAAAATTCATTTTCTAACATTGCTTTTTTATAATGCAAAAGTGTGACGCCACACCACCTGCTCCCCCCCCCCCAACACACTGTCACAAAATTACAGACCCCTCTCCCCTCTACGTGTGTCACGTCATTTATGGACGACCCCACAGTGATTAAAAGCACAGCAGAGGTTCAGTTTGACAGTCGGCATGTCATGTTTTGACTTTTTATCTAGTTCAGGGGTCTCCAAACTACGGCCCGCGGGCCGGATGCGGCCCGCGAAGTCCTCTCATCCGGCCCACGGAGATCTTTTTGTCCAAGAAAAAATCGTTTGTTGGTGATGGCTGAGGAACTTTGCCCAGAAAATTCAAAGACATGCCTGGAAGAAACTGGCCCCCGAACTGAAATCTGATAGGTAATGCGGCCCTCGGACTGAAAAGTTTGGAGACCCCTGATCTAGTTTCATGTACTAGTCCAAAAGTTTCCGCTGATATTTTTCAGTTTTGGCGTACATAGTTAATGATATTAGAAATGGATTGTCTGTAACGAAATGTGTAGGCACGGAGCGTGTGTGAGTGTAGTCTCCCCTTGAAAGTGGTGTGCTAGCGGGACAAAGTGTGTGAACGAGGCAGTGTGTGTGGCGTCAACATTGAGTACCTACTCATCAGTTTTTCTTCTTGTTATGTGTCCTTGTGATTGAGGATTATTATACACTCATGATACAGATTCTCATTGTGGATTGTATTTATTTATAATTGTTACACCTGGCCCAAACGAGCCAAAAATACATAAGAAGCAGAGTGTAACAATATACTTACATTACATTTACTTACAAAAAAGTAGGTCTATTACTATTGTTAAATATAAGAAATGTGGGCTACATCTCTTGAGCCCGGTTTCTTAACGCTTAAGTCATATGTGTGGTAGTAGGTACTATATAAGCTTATGTGGACTCACAATGATCCCAAGTATGTTTACTTTATTGCTTGGTTTGGGGGAATATTATGTGTTGTTGCTAATACTATAAATTTTATGATGTATGAATAAATTTTTCATATTATTTGATTTAGGGAAAAACTAAAAAAAAAAAAACCGTTGACTTTTCAGATAATATTTATGCTATGGGCCTACTTATAGTGATATCTAGATTCTAAATACATTCTTTTTTTTTTTTAAATAAATA